CATGGTGTAGGTTGATATCTCTTAAGAAATCCAAAATTAACTATTATCATATTAATAAAAAGGACTTTTTTGAAGCGCAATGGTTTCGGGGAACCCCAGAAACTGAGGGTGGCCCTTATAGGTCAGAGTACTTTTGCAGCTGATGTTTTTGAACGACTTCAACTACATGGGCATCAAATAGTTGGAGTATTTACTGTACCAGATAAGGGAAACAGAGAAGACCCTTTAGGTAATGAAATAAATTTACATATCGAAGTGTTTTTCTAAGAAAATCAGTTATAAAACTTTAAACATTGTGTATTTTATTATGGCCTTGTTGCTTTAACGTTTCATTCTTAAATCAACCGTTAAATAGCAACTTTTTTAGCAATAAATTTAAGTTGCTTGCTTAGTCAATGCTATAATAACAAAAACAGGTACTACAATTTCTTTGTTACGTTACAGAGGTGTCTTTTTATGATATCAAATGAAGGTCAATAAATACCTTTCGAAAATAATAAGAAAACTCCTGTTGTTAAGTTTTTAATATCTAAAGGCATTTATTTTTAATTTTTTAAATATTTAGCCCAAGTTGCGCGAAAAAATGGAGTACCAGCGTTCAAATTCAAATCATGGAGACGCAAGGGGGTTGTTTTGCCAGAAGTTTTCGAAGATTATAAAAGTGTAAATGCAGATTTAAATGTTCTGCCGTATTGTTCCCAGTTTATCCCAATAGAAATTATCAACTATCCTAAATATCAAAGTATTTGTTATCACCCGTCGTTATTACCAAGACATAGAGGTGCTAGTTCTATTAATTGGTAAGTCAAAATTATTACCTATTTATTAGTTTTTTACAATTTCTAATCTTTATTTTACGATAGACAAATAGCTCTGGTTTTGTTCATTTGTTTAATGGTTGATCCTAAGCAATTTTCAATTGTAAATAAATTGTATCCTAATGTGGAAAACAATTTTAATTTTTGTTTATTTATAATATACTATAGTTAGTNCATTATTTTTAACGGTTCATTTATTGTCACTTTTAATATCTTGCAGACTTGTAGAAGAAGTTAAGGACATTGCCAAGGTGGAGTTTGAAAATGAAGACGTGTACCTCGCCCCCGTTTTCGACGAATTCGGACTCGCAGTCATCTTGAAACTTAGGGGCGGTTCGGCCCCCGCGGAAATAAAATACAGGGCGATCGAATTGGAAACGAATAACATGAAAATTAAATTCCCATGTCAACTGTTCATCGATGGACAATTCGTGGACAGTGAAGGTGGCAAAACATTCGAAACAATCAATCCTGCGGACGAAAGTGTTATTTGCACGGTAATTAGTAACGTACCTAGTTATTATAAATTATGACTTTTTTTACATTAATAACTGACACAGGTTCAATATGCGTCGATAAAAGATGTTGATAAAGCTGTGAAGGCGGCAAAGAAAGCTTTCGAAAAGGGCGAATGGAGTAAAATCAGTGCTAGAGAGCGGGGACAACTTCTCTTCAAGTGAGTGACTTTTATTTTAAGTATTTCATTAATGATGAATTATTTTTTTAAACGTACATACAATTTATACATCTTTTAGAAGTGAGTTAGTTTAATATGAAATATTATTCTGAAAATTCGTTTCTGAATTTTCACCCACTACACACTACCTCAAATTAATGAGGGAAAAATTGTTGTTGTTGTCAGTCACACCCCGGCCGGGAATCGAACCCGGGACCTTTGGCTTTACGCACCAATGTTCTGACCACTAAACTACGAGATGTGACAAATTCAGAAATGAATTATCAGAATAATGTTTCATATTAAACTAACTCACTTCTAAAAGATGTCGAAATTGTATGTATGTTTAATCACAGTACATTTAGTATATAGTTACATTAATTCGACGGATTTGTGACCTAATAAGTACGGTTTGTCGTTGTTGCTGTTGTCACCTCTCGTAGTTTAGTGGTCAGAACATTGGTGCGTAAAGCCAAAGGTCCCGGGTTCGATTCCCGGCGCGGGTGTGACAACAACAACAATTTTTCCCT